GCGTCGTCCATTTGTAGTACCATGTCGGTTGTTCACTGGATTTCGCTAGTACACTTTTTTGTTCGCATTTTTCACACTTACCATAAAAACATTCTTTAGTAGACATAGTGCAAACTCTTGATTTTACAAATGCAGTAATAGATCGACTGGGTATTAATTTTAGTTGAAATAGTTTTTGCAATAACAACCCCATATTAGCGTGAGACTTGCAGAGACAAGTATCTCTTCCAGTAACTTTTCTGTGTAACACCCAGAAGGGCTTTACTGTATAAAAAAGCGAACGTGAAATTTTAAGCTTCTCTTCTGTCACAAATTTCAAATATAAGTTTTCCATTGTGTCACATAAATACCGTTTTCTTTTAGTGATGCCATTTTTGGTTATTGTGTCTTTAACTCCTGGGGAAATCGAAGTGTTTTCGTCTTTTTCCAAGAAATTCTGAACCTTTTCACTAATTTGATTGTGGAATAATTTTCTTTTAGGACTGCATCTATTGAAATGTATGTTATTGGAATTCTTATACTTTTTCAATGCATAATTAGATACGAAAGGGGACAATTTTTTGATTCCTTTATATTTTTTTATTACTCTTCCAGCCAAACATTGAGTAAAAACGGATTTTTCTTTTTCATTTCTCAACAAAAGTCGTCTATCACGTATTTGTTTTTTCAAAATTTCAAATTGCATGAGATTTTTGTGTACTTCGTGACATCCTGCATTTTCTATCTTTTTTACATTTTCTATAATTTCATCAGGTTTAGAATACTTTTTCAAACATCGATAATATTTCATTTTCCATTTTGAAACTTGAGTATTATTTTTTTTTATTTGTTTTTGAAATAAATGAATTCTGAATTTCTAATTTTTTTACTTTTCTACGCAACTTAGCTTCGCATCTTTTCAAACTAATAATTTGTTTTTCTAGTTTTGAAAATCTATTGTCAGAGTTCTCAAGTGTCCTTTCATCATATAACTGTTGTGTATTTACTGTCGGTTCCTCAAGCTCCTGTATATTACTTGTATTCTCGTCAGTACTAATAATCGAAATTGGCGTGCTTACCGACTTTTTTGTTTGTTTTGATGTTGAATTATTGCTTTTCTGACTAGGAGTTGTATTTTCTTTCGCTCTCAGTGAATATATTCTATTTGGACGAGGTTCTGTTGCTGATTGGCATCTATAGAATAGAATTTGTGGAATATTTAGACAGTATTTATACAATCCAAAATTAAATACGTTGTAAAATGCTTACAAAGTTTTATTCAACTCTCGTGTTGATTTTTGACTTTTATTATATGCAGCCAGTTTAAGTGATTTTATTCTACGTTGTTCAGCATCACTCGCGCGTTTCTTTTTCACCTTTTGTTTTTTCAACTGCAATTGTGCATCTCTGGTACTACTGTTACCACCTGTCCAGAAAAATAATCTTATTGAAATAAAACTTTACGTTAAAAAAAGTTACTCATACAATCCAACTTCAATTATGCAAACTTTTCACTATTATAGTAAAATATACAATAACTTACTCATTTTCTTTCATTGCCATAATGACATAAAGTGAAAAACGTGACCACTGTTATACAACTGACGCTATTTTCGCAGTCCGCAAATTATACTACTGTATATTTGTATTCATCGGTTCAAACGGTCACATATGTAAACAAAACTCTTTTTTTACTATGGCATAAAATATTACAAAATTTATTCATCGAGTAAAGCGTTGTAACTATAGTAGTTTTAATAATCTGATGTAAATATTTTAGCAGCAGACTCCTACAATGAGCATACATGAATTACAAGATGTTTTGGTATGTAAAATAAAAAATTCGAGTTGTGCCGATAGAAAAATATGATTTTGAAAAAAAGTTACGCAAGCATATCTTCAATATTTTCCATTCTAGCTTCACGGTTTTTGATGGCACATAACTTTTGAAATCACAGTTTTTTTTGTTTTTCAAAAAGCTATTATACCATATATTCAAAATCATAAATTTTGATGACTTTAAAAAGTTATACGTGAAAAAGTAAAAAAATTCTTAATGACCAAAAACAGAGTAACGCTTATATAACTGTAGACCATGATGAGGCATTGGACGGCACACTAATAAAGGAGTAAGTAGTTTAACTGTCTTATATAGAGGAATATTTCCTCAAATTTTCAAGTCGATTGATGACGACTTTAAAAAGTTACAGACAAAAATCGAAAAAAAAGAGATCAGAGTAACACTTGAAATCAATGCGATTCTTAATAATTTTCTTTTATTAAAGTCCTTTAAACGCAGCAGAGAATTTTTCGGTGGCTAGATATCATTAAATTGATTAGTATAGATGCTATACTTGAGGACTAGATGGTTTATATCCAGTTACAAAAATTATTTCTGACATAAAATAGCGAGTAACAGAAAAATTAAAGGTTCGGTGGATTTGCCCACATGTTATTGAATTTCAAAAGAGGGGGTTGCCACATATGCATTTACTAATCACATTAGAACAAGGATATAAAATTACTACTTCTGATATAGTTGATAAATTCATATCAGCTGAAATTCCGATACAAATAAGACATCCGCGTTTATTTGACATCGTTATGAAGAACATGATTCATGGACATTGCGGTGACTGGTGTATGAAGGATGGCAAATGCTCCAAAAATTTTCCTAAACAATTCCAAGAAGAAACAACGATGGATGAAAATGGGTATCCACATTATCGTCGAAGTAATGTTAATGAAAATAATCAATGGGTTGTTCCACATTGTGCTGAATTACTACTGATGTTCGACTGCCACATTAACGTGGAAATTGTCTCAAGTATTACAGCTGTCAAATATTTGTATAAATATATTTATAAAGGACATGATGCAGCTACAGTTGTCATTGGCCAAACAGAAAATGATACCTCCATCGAACACGATGAATGTCGTAATTTTATTGAAACACGTTATGTTGGTCCTGTAGAAGCATGTTACCGAATTTTCAATAAAGCACTGCAGGATAAAAGTCACTCTGTTCAGAGACTTACATTACATTTACCAAATGAACAAGCAGTACTCATTGTAGACAACGAAGATGAAGCTTCATGGTTAGCAAATTTAAATAATTCCAGTAGTATGCTACTTGATTTTTTCACTTTGAATGCTACTAATGAAACAGCTAGACAATATTATTACACTGAAATTCCTAAATACTTTACTTATAAGAAAAAAAAAGTTGATGGTCAATCTGTTTCTTCTTGGGAAACTCGAAAAAAACATTTTAATGTAATAGGCCGTATGTATTCTGTGAGTCCTACACAAATTGAATTATTTCACTTAAGATTATTATTATTACATGTGAAAGGTGCAGTTAGTTACAACGACTTGAAGACTGTAGATGGTGTACTGCACCCTTCTTTCACAGCTACATGTCTAGCATTAGGAATTATTGAAGATGATGATGAGTGGGACAAAGCAATGAAAGAAGCAGTAACTTGGATGATGCCTAGACATCTGTAACGGTCCTGTCTGATTTGTCTCCTATTTTCGTCTGCAAAATGGCAACCCGTCATACACGAAACGATTAAAGAAAATCGGTAATTGAGCGTAGGCGCTTTTCACACGTATATGCAAATGTGTTAGGGCAACTCTGCGAAAACATTACCATATAAGGAGCGTGACGTCACGACCGTGGGAAAATTTATTGTTTACAACAGAAAATCGTTAATTATAAAGTTTTTTAAACGAACAAAAGTATTTCTTAGTCAAATTTGATGCGCTGATCCTGAATTTCATGTTAATTTAACTCTCAAATAGATATTTATTAGTCAAATCTAATTTACAAGTTAACATTGTTAGTTATTTTGCAATAAACAACGATATTGTTATTTCAAGTATGCGATTACAATCTCGACGTGTTAAAACAGAAAAGCAAGAATTTGACACTTTGATAACCCATTATTAACTGAGTTATCAATAAATAAACAATTTATAATTTTTTTAAACAATTAAAATGACACGGTTAGATAGAAAATCGATCATAAGTATCGATAAAATTGATGATTAAGATTGTTACTCATTTGCTGATTTTTAAACCGCTAAAAAAGAAAATTGCAAATCTGTTTTTTAATTATTATGCAAAATTAAAGAGCAAAATTAATCATCTTTTATATGGATAACAATCTTCTAACCACAAGCGATTTTTCCATGTAAAAATTTTCCATAATTTTATTGTAAAAATGGCGTAATTTGATTGTTAAATTGTATAGCTTATAACTTTAAAAGGCGATTTTTCCTAGAGATGCAATTTATATTAAAAAATTCATCTTTTCCAGTTTCATTTTTTAAATCACATAATTGTAAATTCGTTCGAGCCATTTTGCTATAAAATATGTATAAAATTTGCGCCAAAGACAAAAATAGCGTTGTAGGGGCTACCAAGCGTAGAAAGGAGCCTATTTCGCATGTATAAATTCGCTCGTCGCTGCGGCAAGAGGACTCATTCTCTCCTACCTTGCTTAGCAGCGCGAGCACTGTTGGAAATAAAGCCTCAGCTATCTCCTGAGACGAATTTCTTAATCAGTGGTTAGCCTGTTAACTTCCCATCTTATAGATCTCTAAGAGCTCAACTCATGAGACCATTTCTCTCATGAGAAAAAAGCAGCCTTAGAGATCTTCCCTTCTAAATACACTTGCTATTGAGAGATCAGATTGAGCAGTAATTGCGGCGCTGTCGGCCCTTTCCCCGATAGATGCAATTGCTCTCAATTACATCTCGAAAACGATTCATCGAGTTGGCAAACGTCGTGGTTTGCCACTCGAAAGATTTTCTTTTGATTTTTCAGACTGTGCGCGTGTCAAATTCTTGCTTTTTTCGGAAACGTTATTGCGAATTTTCTGTAAAGAGTCCGAACTTTTATTAACGTGAGAAATACTCAAACGTTACACATCTAAGACATCTATTTGATCGTATATTAATTCACTGTCAACCTATTCATCCTGAAAAGTTATGGGAAACGTTCAAAAACTTAATGTCTGAAGATTTTGCGCGACACAATGAAATAAATATCAGTCATCAAATGGCTTATTCTGAAATAAATGAAATTTTAATAGGAGAGGGGAAAAGTTTGGCCGACTTTCCAACAATGGATCAAAATGTTATCAATATTATAAGAGACAATAATAATACTGATGAAGTAAATCATTTGCGGGAAGCTGGCATTCAACAATATCAGAAATTAAATGCTGAACAGAAAACGATTGTAGATATCATTCTTCAGGTGTCGCGTTCAAGTCACTATGCTGGGTCCACTTGCTTCTACATAGACGGACAAGGAGGATCCGGAAAAACTTTCGTTTACACTACCATTTACAATATTTTAATGTCAGAAAATATCTTATGTTCCACAATGGCATACACAGGTATTGCCGCCACATTATTACCTAATGGAAAAACTGTACACAAAACATTCGGCTTACCAGTTCCTATATTTAATGATTCTTCATCAAATATTAAAATACAATCTAAAGATGGTATACTTTTAAGAAATACTCAAGTATTTATTTGGGACGAAGCGCCAATGGCTCCAAGATATGCTTTAGAAATCATTGATAGAACATTAAAATATATCATGAACAATGATTTATCTTTTGGTGGAAAAATAATGGTTTTAGGTGGTGACTTTAGGCAACTGCTTCCGATTAAAGTGAACGGTACGCGTAATGAAATATTAAATTTATCTATTAAAAACAGTCATTTATGGTCATACTTTTCGAACTTCCAATTGCAAACTAATATGAGAGTCTTACCGCACCAAATTGAATTTGCAAATTACTTATTGCATGTTTGGAATGGAACATTGAACGATCAAGATAATAATCTACAGCTACCAGAACATTGCATACTGCCTACAAATGAATGTATTGTTCAAAACATTTTTGGCAAGTTAATCAAAGATAAAAAATTTGATGAAATTAGTCATTGCGCTATTTTATCTGCTAGAAATGTTGATGTAGATGAAATGAACAATAAAATTACTGATTTATTTGATAAAAATACAGAACTCTTATACACTGGTATTGATAGTACAGATAAATGTGATAATGGCGAAATGGAAGATGTTCTTTTACCGGAATATCTTAATTCATTAAATCCACCAAATTTCCCTCCTTACAAATTACGTTTGAGAAAATTTTGCATTGTTATGTTGATTAGAAATATAAGTCTTAGTGAAGGGTTATGTAATGGAACAAGGTTACAAATATTTGAGTTTTCTAATCATTTGTTAAAATGTAAAATCTTAACGGGCGACATACGGAACAATATTATATTCCTCAATCGAATCACATTATACTGTGAAAATCAATATCCGTTCACTTTCAAAAGACGTCAGTTTCCAATTCGAATGGCTTTTGCTATAACCATCAATAAATCTCAAGGACAAACATTGGACAAAATAGGTATTGATCTTCGACGAGATGTTTTTAATCATGGACAACTTTACGTAGCTATGTCTAGAGTAAGATCTTGGGATTCATTGAAAATTTATCTAGGAAACCAAAGGGAGAATCTGAGTGTAAAGAACTATGTATACACAGAATTATACAAATGAAAATGTTTTTTCAATATCAAACATTACGTTTATAAATTTATCTAGGAAACCAAAGGAAGAATCTGAGTGTAAAGAACTATGTATACACAGAATTATACAAATGAAAATTATTTCAATATCAAACATTACGTTTATAAATCGTAAAATTACATTTAACGAAAGAAAATTATCTTATAACAACTTGCACTTATGATTTATGATAGTATCCTCCGAATAAAAAACTTCAGCTATTGTAAACCAACAATTTTATAAACTGTTCTATTTACTGTTTCAAATGATATAAACTTCAGTTATACGTTATACAGAATTACCGAAAACATGTATTAATGCGCGCAACGCGCGCTATTGTGATTCTAGTAACTTTAAAAGGCGATTTTTCCTCGAGAAGTAATTTATGTTAAAAAATTCGTCATTTCAAGTTTAATTTTTTAAATCGTATAATTGCAATTTCGATCGAGCCATTTTGCGATAAAACATGTACAAAATTTGTGTCAATGACAAAAATAGCGTTGTAGGGGCTACCAAGCGTAGAAAGGAGCCCATTTCGCAAGTATAAATTCGCTCGTCGCTGCGGCAAGAGGACTCACTATCCTACCTTGCTTAGCAGCGCGAGCACTGTTAGAGAAATAAAGCCTCAGCAATTTCCTGAGATAAATTTCTTATTCAGTGGTTAGCCTGCTAAACTCCCATCCTACAGATATCTAAGCGCTCAACTCATGAGACTATCTCTCTCATGAGAAAAAAGCAGCCTTAGACATCTTCCTACCCAAAATATATTTGCTGTTGAGAAACTAAGTTGAGTAGTGATTACGGCGCGGTCGGGCCTCTCCCCGATATATGCGATCACTCTCAATTGCATTTCGAGACAATTCATCGAGTTAGAAAGCCTTGTGGTTTGCTACTCGAAAGATTTTCATATGTTATTTAGATTACACGCGTGTCAACTTCTTGCTTTCCTCGGAGACGCGATTGCGAATTCAATATTAAGAGTCCGAACTATTGTTTTGATAACGCGAGATAGATTCAAACGTTACAGTAATCAACATTATTAACTATGACAAATAACATTATTATATTCAAAAACATTTCCATTCTCTGAAATTTAACCTTATTTTACTTTCACAACGAAATAAATTCTTCCAAAAATGATGTTATTTCCCTCAAATGACGTTATTACATCTAAAAATAACATTATTTCATTTCAATATACAAATAATTTCTTTGGAGAATAACGTTATTTACTTAAAAAAAAATAATGTTATTAAACGTTCCAAAACCTAACACTAACAATGACGTTATAAATGACGTTATTTAATAACGTTATTTATAACGTCATTATTTGCAATAGGGATCACTGTTGAAACTCTAGAAATTGAACTCAACCACTCAAGTCTAAGAAATAATAATATTGAATATAAAGATGAATTATAAAAACAATCTTAACAATAGTATGTCTGTTGAAAAAATCACTCATAAACAAGAATTCAAAAGAGAAAAATAGTCATTACTCAAAAAACTATGTTACAAACATACTTAAATTAAATAATTTTGTATATTTGTAAATAAAAATGTTCCTTTAACTCAAAATCAAAATTTTATCTGTCAAATTATACCAAATTATAAGTACCAAACAATAAACAATCATAGTAAAAGTGTAAAAAAATAATTTATCACGTTGTTCTTTCTTTTATGAATTCAAGAGTTTGAATTAATAATTTATAGTTTGTTTTTTTCATTAATAAAAGTTAATAAACATTAATTAAAGAATTTCATATCTCTATTCTTTGTTTGCTGATTCTCATCAATTAATAGAATAAATTTTCTTGAATATAATTATTAAAGTTACGTATCAAAGTAAACGACTATAAGCTATTTACTACGCTACATTGTTTTTGTACATTCATGGTTGATAGAACTTTTTTTTTTTCGTTAATGGATTACCTATGAGATTTACAGTGTATTCTAAATGTTTTATATAACGATAAAGAAAAAGCTTTAACAAAGTAAACAGTTACATGAATGCTTTATTAGTAGTGTCTTACTTTTATCTTTTAACTTTTAAAAGCAATCAATTATTTGGTAGTGATCGAACGAATTTATATTCAAAGTACCTTATTTCTCTTTTGTAACTTATTGTGTGTCTTAATTTATTATTTATTTTTCTATTATTTAATATTTCTAAATTTTGGAAAATAGTGAAATCTATTTAAAAATAGAACGGATGCTATAAATAACTTTGAGATACTGTACATAAATTATGAAATATTCTGTAATTAATATACAGCAAATCAATATACTATATATACCTTCAATAAATATAATTAACAATTTATATTAATAAACTAAATCATATATTTTTTAATCATTATAAAAAAATTTATTGATATGATTTCTATTATTATTCTTATAACGACTCTGTTGGAAAAGTTTTATAGGTTACCATTCAAAAACTATTAATATCGAATATTACTCAACCATTTTCAATGAAACGAATAGATCAGCAGTTAAGTGACGATTGGAAATAAATAATTTTAATAGTAATCATAATAAACAGTAAAAATTCCTATTCATTTCAATCATAAAGAATTACTTTCATAATACTTGCAATAAAAATCAATTCAATAGTACTTTATCAAATCATATTTTGTTATGTCTAGGCGAGGAGATGTTACAGCCAGACGTAATAATATATTTAAGTAATGTCGCGTTGGTAAAGGTTGGATCTTAGTTAGGAGTTAAGCAGAGGTTGGTTAAAGGGATAGCGCCTTTATTATACGTAGGGCGTTTTAAGCAGATAAAATAGTTTCTTACCTTATTATGATTGGATTTCAGAAGAGGTTTTTTACGAACAGTCTCAGGTTTTTGCGCTTGATTTAAGATTTATTGTTTAAAGTTAATTATAGTACTTAACAGAGTATAATCCCGGTAGCCTGATAGTTAGACTTAAAAAATAACTTTGCGAAACTACCAAACTGCTGAATCGTCAACTGTCCTGCGTACTGTATGCTATATACTCCTTGTGCGAATTCCAATCCAGCCTTTTTATACCGTAGGCTGAGTTGCCCCTTCCTGTGTTTTCGCTAATTTAATATGCGGTGAGTAATATTCGCGGAAATATTATGGAGACGTGCTTAGACTAATCTATCCCGCTAGATAGATTTACAAATATCCTTCCCGGGAGGGTTGGTACAATAGAAAACTAAATTATCGATACCCGGTTTGTTACCATAACTTATAATTTGTCACGTACTTTTTCTTTCGTATCGACGTGACATGCCCACCCCTCGGAGTCCTTTGCTGATAGAGCAAGGGACTAGCGTTCTCCGAACGCTACTGCAATTTTTGGTATGAGTATACTTTTTGTTTTTTTTTTTGTGTCTTATCATCCTACATATTTGTCAAGATTGTTATATTATTTTTGTATGTGTTTTTTTTTTTTTTTTTTGTTATATATATTTTACATACATATATATATCTTTGTGTTTTTTGTGTTTTGTTATATATACTTTACATATATATATATTTATTATTATTATTTTTTTTGTGTGTGTTTTTTTTTTTATTATATTGTTGTTTTTTTGTAACTATCATTATTATTTATTATTATTCTAAGAATAGGAAGGACTGGGGATAGGATTACAGCAACTCCAGACGATGAACCTGCAAGCTCCTCTGGAACCTACATAAAAACTCCCTGCCAATGCATTTGGCACAGGGGGCATTACTGAGCATAAAATGCTCCGGGCGGACACATTCGGCCTCCATGGCTAGTTGTTGATCCTTCGAAGCGGCTGCGATGCGTGCTCGGCAGAAGAAGCATCTCTGCCAATGTGCGGTACCTTGTCCGCACACACGGCATGGATTAAAAGGGGCTCGTCCGAATCCCTCTCCTCCATAGGTTTCCTCGAAGAGGAACCTTAAGTGCAGGTGTCCGTGATGAGCCTCCTGGAAAATATACTGGGTCAGCTCGTGGTAGTTCCAGCCTCCATCGTCGTCTAATAGCGGCAGTTCGGGATGCTGCATGCTCGTCTGGGCCTTCCGGTTCTCCCATCTTGCATATAGTCGTCCCATTGTTGCTGCCGACGTCCGACTGTTGCATATCTGTTCCGTCGTCCAGGATCGATTAGCCCTCTTGCATGGCGGGCCGAGTGTGGTAGTTGCCGTGCGTTACATCGTGCTAATTTTATGGAGTGTCTGATACGACAGGGGGGTATATTAGCGTTTTTATACCTTTTTTATTTTAGAGAGTGGGAAGAGTTGGAGGAGTGTCTGTCGTTTCGGATTTTTGGAGTGGGACCACTTGCACGGCCACGGGTGGGGAGTGAGGAGTGTCGTAGTTGATTGGTAGCCTAAAATATTTTCCGTCAAGTAATGTCTGTGCAGATTTGCAGATTTTTGAGGAGTTAGGGGTGGATTAATTTCTTGCATTGGTATATTTTCGAAGTCGCGGTCTTTGTTACTGCACACTCTATATGCGCAAAGTATGCAACTTACTGCGATTACGGATATGACAATGATTACAATGGTTACACCTAAAGTTACATATACGTGCAATAATTTCGCTCGGTCCGAGTGCTCGTATCTGTTCCGACTACTATTTGTGTTTGGGCTTTTCATTACTATTTTGTCTGAAGTTATCAAAGAGATTTTCGGAATTACAAAATTTTCCGCCTTTAGTTTTTTCTTAGCCCCTAAATAAATATGATGGCTTGTTCTAAGTTCGCACGGCTGGGGAATCTGTATTAATCCGGTACCATTCAAAGGAAAGGGTTGTACTACGCCGTTACAATTAATATCAAAGGAAGTATTGAGATTCACTGAGTATAGCAAAACATTATTTTGTAACATCGGTATAAGATAATAGTCAGTTTCGGAGCTAGTTTCAAGCTGGTAAAATACAAGATTTGACTCTTCCGGTGATGTTAACAGGTTAAACTCGCAGGAATTATTGTTTGGCTTGCGTATAGTCGGGCGTGGGCACAGATAGAAGGATAATATCA